GTGGGGGAGGCAGCAGGGGAGACAGTGGGGGAGGCAGCAGGGGAGACGGTGGGGGAGGCAGCAGGGGAGACGGTGGGGGAGGCAGCAGGGGAGACGGTGCGGGAGGCAGCAGGGGACTGGCACATTGGTCCGGGCTGTGGCTCTTCTTCTGAATAAATGAAAATTATTTAACACAGTTGTGTACACTTCAATTAAAAATATTTGACCAAAGGAAAACTGGAACAGGACTAGAGAGAGATGAATATGATTTAGATTTTTATTTCTGTGACTGTTTATGACCCAAAGGAGACACGACATTAACAGCAGTTGTGATTCGTCTAATTCAGGTCCTTTAATTCCACAGCTGACGCTGCTAAAAATGACAGATTTTCTTTTCTGGATCTAGTCAGAGAGCAGAACTTCGATCTCCAAACTCGTGAAGTATTTTTATTTTTATTTACTTTGTAATGTCATTTATAAAAGGACACTTCCTGGTATGTGGGGCAGGAAGCGTAGCCTTATATGGTATTTTTGGGGTGGTAATTATGCTAATCTCCTCCTCGTGCGCGAGCACCTGAATACGCATTCATCGTGTTTACACTGCTCATTTGCACACTTTTTCTAGAGATAGAAGTGTTTGCTGAATCTGACGTGGCATGTTCATACGAACAAAAGTAAGAAAATTTTAAGCTAAGAATACAAAAATGTYCTTGCATGAAGCTAAATAATCCAAAAGTACATCTCTTAGTGCATGCGTGAATGAGCTGACGGTATACAGATCATGCTTCCAGAACAGATCGTAGACATACTTTGATATAGAACGCAAAACCTCCTCATCCTGAGACAATAGCAAMCGCTAGTGCGCCAATGCAGCTAAAACATCCCTACAAGACATCAAACTTGCAGTTACAGCTGGTGTCTGAGCTGCACTTCAAACTGCTGGACCACAGGTACTATCCATATTGGTGTTTATGAACACATATTGAATTTAGATTTTAAATATTTTCAGCAGCGTTGGCAGCGGCCATTGTTGCAGGACGATGACATCCAGGTTAGCTGATGCCAGGGTCTCACGCACTGACCGTGAGACACATGCATTTTAGGATGTGCACATGTGTGTATTTGTGTAGACCCATTAAAAATCTCCTGAAACTTCCCATCATTACTCTTTTCAGAAAGGCTGGATCTCACATATCCTATCGCTGCTCTCATCCCAATAATCAGTGCATTTTTGTATTGACTTGTAATGACATGTCATCAAYTACCAAAAGTGCAGAAAGAAGTCCCTGAACAGTGTGCCTTTTTGAAATCTCTCTAAAATACCATTTTCTTTAACATTGCTTAATGCCATCTGTTCCAAGCTTGAGAGGACAGAATCATACTGACTTAAAACAGCAGTGGACTGTCCATCAGGTAGAACATAGTGGTCTCAGAGAGGCACTTGACCCTTCTGCACTTCATACAGTAGCAGCAAACACTTAAATTTCCCTGTCTGCTCGCTTAGAGTACCATTGTAGAGCATCATGGACAACCGGACTGGCCTGGCAAGCAGCTTCAGTGATGATGTTGAGGCAGTGGGCTCCACAATGAACAAACAATTCCAATGGCTGCATTTTATTTAACTCTGCTTGTACTCCTAAAAATTTTCCAGACAAATAGCATAGGGCTGGGCGATTATTTGATTGTGATTATTGATTGAGAAAAAATTCAGGTCGATCACGGTGATCAGCTGTGAGCCTATTACTCGATCAAAAATGGCAGAAATGTGTACAACAGCCAATCAGAATCCACCTTCTCCTGCTTCACTTCCATTTATAAGTTGCAAAGGAAACGCAGACAGAATCGCAGAATTAACCAAAATAATCCAGAATAAAATGCTGAATCTCATAGAGTTCACTTATTTGAGCGAGTTTCTGAGGTATTTTGACCGCTGTCGCTTCCTGTAACTGCCACAACAAGCTAAATGGCACGCAGGGTGAGCGTC